AGGAGAAGTCTGAATTAAAGAAGGGAATGCCTATATAAAATAAACCAACAGCCATTCTGTCTTGAAAATAAAATCCACAATTCTAAAAGGCAAAATTGACATATTCACAGATACTAAGTGTTTGGTCTTATAGGAAAAAAAGTACTTTGAAGTAGGCACGGAGGAGTTTCACATGACACCAATAAGATATTTACTGTATAAATTGCATCACTAGACAAATACAGCTACAAGAAATAATTTGAATAAGTCACACAGCCATCAAAGCGTCTCACACATTCATTATAATTCACTCTTTCACACTAGTTTATATACACTGAGTAAGTCATTAAATATTGCACTTATTGGCCCATGAACCCTCACTTCTGAGGTGTTGAAAAATAGAAAACAAATCTATTTTTATAACATATTTCATGCAACATTTAAGACACTTCATTTCCACAAACACCATTAAATAGTTGTACATTTGGACAGCCCAACGGTATCACATCACGTCTGACATTAACAATATATTAACAGGAATTACAGGAAGTCTTTATTCAGCACACATCCTAGGGATGATGAAACAATGCGTGGAAAACCATCATATTGATAGAGCAAACAATCCCCAGACTTCACTTACACGAGGAGTATGGCACCACTAGACAGATGGAAGTCATGCTCACTTCCCTGAAAGGCCAGGTGTCTGTGTGGCTCATGTCCCATCTGTGTCTTTAAGAACAGCATTCATGAACCAAGCAATCCCTAGCCCCAAACAACATGAATATGGAAATATTCCCATTAAGAAATAAAGCCACAGCCAACTCTCAGTTGTCCACAACAAAGGAAAGTATAAACACAGGTCAGTGAGATACACAGGTAACCCCCCACCCTCATTTCAGCAAGTAATAACTGGTTAAAACTTCACCAGTAATAGTGCTTATGGGAGATAAATGGTGAAACTCAAGTCTCATTTCCTATTCATGGCCCTGTCATTCTATGAGGATAGTGCTTTAAGAAACTGAAAAGCAGATAAATTAGGAAGTAGAAAAGAGAACTGCAAATCGAATGTTGTTTGTCCACTAGTTAGGTGTTCTGATCTTAGTACTTGAGGTCTGACAGAGGTTTTGAAATTTAATTTCTTTTGTCTAGAATGTTTGCAAAATGTATTTTCTCTCTATCCTCTTTTTAATGGGAATTAATTATGTGCATAGACACACAAATCAAATCAGTGTGAAGAATCTATTTCATAGAACTTTTTAAACAAAATGTGAGTTATAGTTGGCACACAGTGAAAGCTCCCTTTTCCCTAGCACTGAGAAAGCACCATATATGGAAATTTCCCTCCATAAAAAGGGGATCTCTGTATGGGAGGGTGTATGTGTTGGGAGGGGCAACAAGTGTAAATATTTTAAGCTACCAAAGGGAAGTATTATTTGACTGCAGTGTCAAGCATTTCTGTTTTTAAGAAAAGAAACTACATTTATTTATGAAATACCAATAACAATAGGTAGATATATTTTAGATAAATTCGCCAGACCTATTTTTGCTCCCTTAGCAGATATTGTATTTCTAGAACCTGGAGCCCTTTAGGTGGATTATAGGGTTAAAGATGCTTTTTTCTGGTCATAAACTTTATCTTTTACTTAATTTGTCCCAATTCATTCCAGAATATAAAATAGGTTTATGTCTTTAACAGGCTTTGGTCAAAAATTCACCTAAAATATAAAGGACTCTAAAAAGGTGACCCTCACAGTTCAGCTCATCAGAAAGATTTCACCATTTTACTGGTCAACGACTCAAGCACAGGGAGTATGCACAAATAGGCAAAGCTAAGCAGAGCTGCAAAGGTTGCATCTTCCAGGGGGTGATTAGGAAGGCCACATGGGTCTAGTTGCTCACGTGGCGCCCTGATATGCACACTGGGTATACACACAAAGGAACAGAGAGTTCCAGGTACCAGTCATGCAAACTATAATTTAAGGGGAGGATTCTTCAGACAGAAAGACAGGCCACCTCCCAAGTATGCCACACCAAAATACCTGATTGAGAATTCCAATAGTATATGAAAATTATTAACAAACACTTTTTGGTCTAGAAGGGTTTTAGTCACGACTTTAAAATAAGATTTATCCCACAGTTGTTCACAGGCAGCTGCTACCTCAGCCTTGGAATAGCTTGGTAGAGTCTGGATACATTTTTAACAGGGTCTCACAAATGTCACACGGTTGACTGAAGGATGGCATAGTACGTCTTCACTAAGCACTAAGATACACATTGGATAAAGCACAATGAGCCACTGATTACCAACTAGCACACTTCAAAATTAGTGTTGCTTCATGGACGTTCAGTTAATAGTGGACTGTATTTTACTTTTAAAGAAGAACATTGCATATCTGCAAGTCCATTCTCAGCATAGATGTAGTTAAAATTGGAAGTTTAAATTGGTTCCTGAAAAATAACCCATATGCTAAACAAAAGGACTATAATTAATCTGGATAAGGATTAAGTAGGTGAAATTATATTTGTTTATTGAGTATGTAGATGTCATATAATTTGGGTTGTAATTTTGTAGAATGTGTACTTCACATTTATCATAACAATGCTGCAGATTTCTGCTACAACTGAAGGCATCATCATAGTTCCCTTTCCAAATAAAAATCTTAGCACTTATTTACCAGGCAGAAAAGGGATCCTGATTCCAAGTGACCTAAGGAGGAACTATAAGAACCTCTTGGACCTTATGGTCTTTGGAAGTTCAAGGCAGTAGAAGCTGTTCAGTGGGGGCAGCAGCAATGAACTGCTTCACTGTCCTGAAGCAATTCTTATGAGCCTGTAGATGCAATGCTAACTTGTCAATTGCCATCTTAGGACTTAAGAAACTTCACGTACCTTCTACATCCATTCACATCTCAAAAAGCTGAAATGCAGATTCACTCCGTGGATGGCTATTTAGATGAACTAATTTCTAGTCTAACTTTTCAGTGACATTAGGAAAGAAAAGGAATGCACCCAAACCAAAGCTCTTGGAAGGATCTGCTCAAAACAATCAAGGTTTGTTTCTAAAAGTAATTGGAGGGCTGGGGGTGGTGAGGAGTTGGGTGGCAGAGGAAGAGAAATTCATATTTGAGACACTAATTGAATTGCATCAAAGACAAAAGATGGATGTCTAAAATTTACAAACTAACACAAGTATAAACTTTTTAAGGTGTCTTGTTCTTTTAAAACAAATTTAGTGAGGTCTTTAGTAAAAATGACCTGTGGTTATTTAAGCTGTTGGCAGATGGAGAGAACGTAGGAAGTATAGTGTGTGTGTGCGCACATAGGTGAGTGCCCACATTGGCCAAAAGACTGAATGAAGTTGGAATTACATGTTCTAATTTAAAAGTAATATAGCTTGATGCCAATAGAAGCTCATTTAGTTACCCTGGGCTGGTTCCTCTTTTGCCAAATTTGATTTTAAAACCAGGATCTCTTGATGAAATTAGGAATAGAGAATAATCTCTTTCCATGTTCTTTACAGCAGGAATATAAGTGTTCATTCACTTGAGCTCTGTGACAATCTTTTTTGGAAACTTCTCACTGAAATTCACACAGGGTAGGAGCTTCAGAACTGAGAATCAATTAGGAAGGCTTCTCTTTCACTGAGTTTTGGAAAATAGAAATTATCGACATGTTCCCTGGCACTGACACTTGGGCTGTTGTTGCATCATGCTCCCCTGACTGGCATAAAAGTAGTTTAACTTTGGCATGTTTGACACTGGAAGTGGGCACTGGGCTTAGGTCTTCTGGTCCTAGGGCTGGTTAATTTCAATAGCAATCTCTTCTTCAGGGAAGGGGTTTACAAGAAAGCAAAACTCACCTCTTTCCCTTCCACTTTTCTACCATCTCTCATTTTGCTTTCCATTTTACAATAATAAACATATTAAGGTCCTTCTGGAAAAGCCCTTTGAAACATCATATTTAGGCCCTTCACATCTGTATGTATGTGTGGGATGGGGGCTGTGAGAGAGGATGGGAAGGTCTTCGTGGCTTTATTGCTTCCTATCAGATTGTAAAAGTGAGCTTAACAGCTATGTTATTTAACATGGCCCCTTTCTAGTCCAGGTTATGGAAATATTACAATATCATGCAGACAGACTTCTGTTGCAAACAAATCTGTTTTGATGCCTCCTGCCTTCTCTCCCTTTATTTTAATTTATATGATTTTTGAACCTGGTTGCCCCATTAAAATCTAATAAAGCATTAATGTGTTCTTGTCTTCACTAAGCTAAGGCCTGCCTTGCAGGGTGCCAAAGTGGAAATTTATTACCAGTTAGTGGATCTTAAGCTAAGACTGTGAGAAATAACATGGATATGCTTAAAACATCCCAAACGCTCTCTCCTATAATTTTCATCTTCTCATTCACTAATATGTACGTGACCTAGTTCCCTGACTTGTAGGCATTTATTCTCCAGAGATCTCTTTAGCTAGATGCATGTTTCCCTACCAATATCCTTGCCCGATAAACTTGCACACAATAGTTTCATCAGAAGTGTCTATTTTTGAAAAGAGGAAAAAACATCTTTAACATGATCACCAAAGGGGGGAAGTCCACTTCCAAATCTGCCCGTCTGTGCTTGCTGCCTTCTTAAAGTCCCAGCTGCAAATAATGCCGAGTAAGGATACAGATGCCAAATTTCCCTCTCTTGCTCAGTCAGAATATCTGGTGGAGTTTGTCTGCTTGTTTTTCGTATATGGTCTTCAGGAAATCTGGGAGAAAGAATCTGGGTGTTCAAATGGTTTCCTTCTTCTCCTCAAATTGCTTATGGCATCCTAAAAGGTTTCTGTAACTCTCAGCTCCAGTGTATTCTGAGTAATTTAAACATTTTTAAAGGCTTGCAGAATGGGGATATGCCTTAGAATTATGAACACCTGCATTGAAAAAGATTAGAGATGACAATTGTCTTTTCCTCACCCTGGGAGCCATTGAGATACTATTTAAATAACTTTTAACCAAGTAGAAGAACTAGCTGAGTCTCAGTCTGTCAGTGCCCTCAAATATTCAGAAGGTTGGGTAGAAGAAGTGGGAAGAACAGTCCTGAGTTAGGGTATTCCTTATTTAAACATCTAAATTAAAATTATTGTTTATTATTTACCTGACTAGAAATAGATTTACTCTCTGACGAAACTTGCAAGGGCCTTAAACACAATATTTTGATTTCTTTATAGTCAATGGTCTCCTCAGTTATAAATAACAATGAAAAATAGACATATTTCCTGAACAGTCAACTGACCAGACTCATGACAGTCTCCCTAATCAAGGGTAATATTTCCACTTGATTTTCAACTAAAAGTAAAGCAAATAAGGTCTCCTGAGATCTCTCCCTGCCCCCCCCCCACACACAAGCAATTCCTTGATTATTATCCCTACAAGTGAATAGCATAATTTGAACCCGTGGCACAAAAGTCAGTTGTAGTGAAATTATAGTCTGAGGTCCCAGCAGTAGCTTAATCTGAGAAGAAATCTGAAACAAAAAGAGCCTAGAAGACAAACAACAAATCACATGCAAATACCAGATGTTTATAGATGGATAGGCCTTACAAATTTAAGATCACATATTTGCCACATATTAACATGGGAAATCTCCCAAGAATTGAATGCATGTACGAGCCATTGACATCAAAGATTTCCCTCAAATAATTATTAGGCAGTATAAATGAAGGCTAATCGACCATTTATAGATGCAGTTAGCAACCAACCCCCGGAGCTGCCTGTGTGTGTGGGGACATTAACAGCCACAGTTGGGCTGCGGTGGAGGAGGGGTTTCCTTGAGTCTCGTGTTCTGCTTCGCGGCAGTGATGGCCGGATCAGTCTCCAAACTCTCTGACATTTTGTCACAGATGATATCCACAAGGCGCTCAAATGTCTGCTTGACATTAATGTTATCCTTGGCGCTTGTTTCAAAAAACTCAAAACCTGGAAGAAACACACAGAAACACAGCTTGGTTATTTCATACCTCTGCTGAAATTCAGTGGGACTTGGTTATGGTTTTGAATGGTGGTGGGGGGACAGCATTGGGTGGCAGGTTTGGTTTGGGTGAGAGATGAGAGGCAGGTATGAGGTGCCATTTGAGCCAATGTTACCAACTTGCTACTCATTAACCAGGAACAAAACTTATAAAGTAGAATTGGTGATGTTCACACTTTATTTTTCTTTATCAATTCATTTATGCTACCAGCAGGGCTGAATAGACACAAACACAAACAAACCTAAGGGCCAGCCCAGTGGCATAGCAATTAAGTTCGCGTGTTCTGCTTCGGCAGCCCAAGGTTCACAAGTTGGGATCCTGGGCACGGACCTACTCAACACTCATCAAGCCACACTGAGGCAGTGTCCCACATAGAAGAGCTACAACTCTACAATTGATACACAACTATGTTCTGAGGCTTTGGGGAGAAAAAAGAGGAAGATTGGCAACAGATGTTAGCACAGGGCCAATCTTCCTCAAACAAGAATAAAAAAATGTCCCTTGGCAAGAGTTAATGTTGCCATTACTAAGAATCCTTAACACAGTCTGTCTTTGCCATTTCATCCCTCAAGCCCTGGCCCACCTTGTAGCCTCTCATAATCATTTCCAGGACTGATGTTATTTGGTATTTTTTTCTTTCCTCGTTTCAGATTCTACCAAAATTATTAATTTTCATTTTTTCATTAACTTGAGGCTTAGAAGACTTCGTGTGCACGTTCTGCTGCAAAAGGGACTACCAAACTCCAACATAATCCAGCTCTAACTTTTTATTGGGCAGTAGCAGGGCTGACATGGAAAAAGTTTGAGGGTGGGCTTTTGGTAAATTTCCAGTATCTAACTGGACACAAGGTGGCACTCACGGATCACTGGATTTACCTTCAGCGTGCTTCAATCTCCTTTAGGAAATTTTTGAGTGGAGATGGTCTAACAGCCCTCCAGGGCTTTGCACACCATTGCATCTATCTACTGGTGCTGAGTTTTCCGTAGCTTCTGTTATCTGTCAGCTGCAATATTTTTACCAACATCTGGGAAAAGGACACTTGATAAATTTCAAATGAGCTGCCAGAATTGCAAGAAGGTACACAAAATGCAGTGACAGTTTCACACTTCTACTGACGTGTCACTGTACCTGGCTGGAAGCAGCCTTAGTATGCAGCTCTGTACACAATCTTATCACGCTATTGTTTGCATTCACATTCCACTGGCTCAGCTTACCAGTCAGTTGCCATGACAACCTCCCCACTAGGCCAGCCAAAGATTGCTCTGGTCCATTCAGGGGATGTTGATTTAGGATGTATTGGGTGGAACACAGAAATGCTTTCCTAATCCATTCTAAATTTTACACCCTATAAATCCTTCTGGTTACATCTGGCCCTATCTCAGAGGAGCCACATGGATTCAGAGTGATTAAATCATGCGATTTCATCCCAGATCCTAGGGCCTAAAGGAAAAAGAATGGACCAACATTTTGCAGCCATGTCAAAAATCCCTGAGATAACCCAGAAATACTTATTTTCTTAAATAATATTGAAGGGTAGACAACAAAAAGCAATTTTCATGAGTTAAAATTTCTAATTTAGTTATCCTACTATCTATTTAGTTAGATGACATATACCTGAACTTGAATTTCACTAACTACTGTGTATTTTATTGTTAAAATCCAAGTGAATAATTGTAGGATTTGAGCTGAAGGAACATGAGTAGAGCCAGCTTCTATAAAATAGCAATGGATACTTCAAATCCTCTTTGACGTGTATTTCTTTTTCATTTGTCTCTCTGGACAGTGCTTATATAGCTCTCTTACATTCTGCATTTCTTTACAGAAAAGGCTATCTGGTGTTAACAGAATTCTCTTTTCTAATGTTTGCATAGTCTATAGGGCTAGATCATTCACCTTTCAACACTTGATTCAGATTTTGGAAAGTATGGATCTAAGCAATATCCTTATTGCTAAGATGTTAGAACTGTTTGCACCCTTGTGGGGAGTGTCCAGTGCTAACTGGAAGGTGCTACATGTCACAAGATACCAAGACCCCAATGAAGAAGTCAAGACCCCTGGATGAGACTTTGGGGGAAAAAATCTTGTAATTTGGCACAAAGATTTAATTTACAGGTTCAATTCTCTCATCTCTTCTGTTAACACTTTTACTTATTAGCATGATTTGGGAAGGCTCTGAACTTGGAGGGTATAATAATAAAGATTTGGCCAGTGTGAAAATATGGTAATCCACCCAAGCCTCTGTCACATACAGCTCCTTTAATCTGAGATTTGAGACACCCCATGATACTGGTATACAACTTAAGGTCAGTAAAATGATCCTCGATCCCAAGACCCAGATGCTCTCAGGGTCTTGACCTTAACCTGGAACCCCAGGAAGATGTGGCTACTAAGGAGATAATGTCCCGGGAAGATAATATCATATTATAACAATCCTCCATTTATCCAGCATGGCTGGAGAAGGGGGTCCCATTATATGGTGAGAGGGAGGGGATATCAGTCAGAAGATGTGGGATCTAGCCACACTAGCAATACTTACTAGCTTTGCGACCACGGCCAAGTCACATTTTTATTCTCATGTTCCTTGTTTATGACATTTGCCTTACTTAGCTTACAGTTTTCTCAAAGGAGAAAATGCATGTAAAAATGCCAAGCAAACCAGAAACTGCCATGATAACAACAACAGTAATAGTAACAATAAACTAATATTTGAGTGATTGCTACATAACAGGTACTATTCAAAACACTTCATCCATTTTCACTCATATCCTTCAGGTAGATGCCAGTATTTTTTTTGTATGTGAGGAAGATCAGCCCTGAGCTAACATCCATGCCAATCTTCCTCGTTTTGCTGAGGAAGACTGGCCCTGAGCTAACCTCTGTGCCCATCTTCCTCCACTTTATGTGGGAGGCTGCCACAGCGTGGCCTGACAAGCAGTGCGTCGGTACACGCCCGGGATCTGAACCCCAGTCCCCCAGCAGCGGAGTGCGCACACTTCATGCTAGGCCACGGGGCCGGCCCCAAGCAGTACTTTCTTTAACTAACAAAATGGAGGGACAAAATAGCTGAGTACTTTGCTCAAACATTTACCTGCTCAGCCAGTAATGGTGAAGCTGGCATTTGAACTACTAACCTGGACCCTCTCTTGCTCCTCCATACACCCTGCAGAAGCAAGGGACTATTTGGTTCCAACTGAATTGGAATTTTATGTTAATAATCATAGTATATACCATAAACTTGAATCAATTTAAATAACTAGAAAGTAATTAACTAGATTTAACACTGTCAGTGAACCAAATGAAACATCTTTTCTTAATGATTCACAGGTACTCGGCTATCTTGTGCCACTTAAGATCCATAAAGGTGGCCATCAGGACAGCTGTATCTTTAAGAATTAGAGATATAAAAGGTTCTGGAAATTAGGTTTCCTCTCATTGACCAGATATGCTGTTTGTCATAAAATGAGATATTCATGATCAAAATTAACATTATTATTTTAGCATGTAGCTGTTTGGATTCAGGGAAAATGTGAGTTTACTGTGCAATAAATGATTTTCCATCCAGGTGAATCAATATCTTCCTTCAATCGACTATGTGTGAGGCCATTCACAACTCACGCCTATGTGTGCCCATGGGTGTTGAAAGCTCATGGCCTAAATCATAACCACAAATTCAAATACTTTAGCCTTTATTCTTCTGTTATTGTTGGAGTTGACGGCCATACCTCCCAGTAAGTCAGTATTTTAACTTCAACTATAGCAACATGACCTTGTTCTTAGAAATCTCTAACCTCCCATCCGTACACATGGACATCAGTGGGAAGCCAGCACTTCAGTCAATAATGCTTAGGAAACAGAGTCTTTCTTATAAAACTTTGAAGATCATTTCCAATTTACTAGGTAGGCAGTGTGGTTCAGCAGATTAAATAAGTAGCCCAAGGTCACACAGCAAGCCGACTGTGAAGGCTGACAGAGATCTCCTGATAAATAGGTTACTGATTTAGCTTCCAGCCTTAGACACCTGTCCTTCAGACTACATCATCCAATATTAATAATTTCAGTGAACACTTTCAATTAACCATAGAAATTCTGGTCATTCTTTCCCATTTTTCTCTCATCAGAACCTTTCTAAATTCTCTCTGGCACAGATAGACTATTCCTGAAATGGATGAGCTTTGCACTGTGGTCTAGTACACCTCTGTTTTAGGCCTTTTCATGATTGATCTTGGAAGGATCACTCCTTCTCTTTCCAAAAGCCATTACAGGCACTGCTGGACCCTAATTTATTTATGACCTTGTGCTTCAGTTTCACTTGATGTTAGGGACTAGACAGAAGCTTGGAAAGGTTTTGTATGGAAAACATGTGAGTTATCCTGATGAAGGAAGGGAAGAAGAAAAAACCAACCTTCTCTCCTCTTCATGATGTGTATATTGCTGAAGGGGAAGCAGAGAGATGGTGCAAACCAGATTTCACTCTAGGGCCCAAGCAATATGATCCTACATCCTGACTTCATAAGATTGGAGGTCTACCTGCATTCGAATCACCTGAAGTGCTCAAACGCTTCTAAACTCCACCCCAGACATACTAAACTAGAATCACAAGGAGGAGATAGGGCCATAAATATGCATTTTTAAAAGGCGCCTTAGGAGGTTTCTTATGTACATGAAAGGTTAAGATTCACTATCCTCTGTATACTCATGTTTATAGCAGCATTATTCACAATAGCCAAAAGGTGGAAGCAACACAAATATCCATCTACTGATTAATGAATAAACAAAATGTGGTATATACATACAACGGAATATTATCCAGCCTTAAAAAGAAAATTATGACACGTTACAAATGGATGAACCTTGACAACATTGTGCCATGTGATATAAACCAGTCACAAAAGACAAATACTGTGTGATTTCACTTATATCAGCTACGTAGAGTAGTCAAATTTACT